ACCCCCCCCCCCCCACACACACACAACAACAACAACAACAACAACAACAAAACATAAAAAACAAAAAAACCAACAACAACACACACACACACACACACTACACACCAAGAAAACTACCATTCCCAAATATCTTTGTTTTGCTTAATATCCCTATAGTTTCATTGTTGCAGATAGATCCTTGGGTTTAGTTTAGTTTTGACCCTATTACCTTTTGTGAAATGTTGACAAATATAACTTCCTTTGGGTGAAACTACTGAGTCTATCTGAGGGCAAAATGTCAAAAAAGTGGGTTAATAGTTAGAACTCTGGAATTGTTAGCCGATTTGAGTTTATTACACCTGAGTTCTATTGTTGCAGTTAGACCCTCTGAAAAGGGTAAAAGAACTTCAATCAGGAAGTCTAATCTAGGGGTAGTAAGTTCAAATTGGTGATAATACAGGGGTCTATACTGCAACTAACCGGGGGAAAAAATCCAGAGGGCTATCTGCAAAAAAGAAACTACGGGTTTAGTAATTCCAAAAGAGTGAAACTGCAAGAGGGTTATCTTCAATTTACGCTAAAGTTTATAGGAACATTATCATGTTCACATAGACAATAACACTACTACATGTCCATCAAGAAATATCTCATTTTCTCTCAGGAATGCACTAACATATGCCTGATGATCCTAATGTGTTTCCATTACGCAAGACGCCTTAGGCTCAGCACGCAACATCACCTTCTCCAACATCCAAGTTACAAAAGTTGAGAAACAAATAGCCATTGATCAGTTCTACAATGCCGAGCCAAGCGAATCCAAGAACGAGAAGTCAGCATTGGCTCTGTCGCATATCTCATTCGAGAACATTAACCATCAAGAAATATCTCAATTTTCTCTCAGGAATGCACTAACATATGCCTGATGATCCTAATGTGTTTCCATTACGCAGGACGCCTTAGGCTCAGCACGCAACATCACGTTCTCCAACATCCAGGTTACAAAAGTCGAGAAACAGATAGCCATCGATCAGTTCTACAATGCCGAGCCAAGCGAATCCAAGAACGAGAAGTCAGCAGTGGCTCTGTCGCAGATCTCATTCGAGAACATTAAAGGGATGTACACGAAACAGCCTGTGCACTTGCAGCGAAATCGGTCCATGTTCTAGAATATCACTGACCGATATATATCTCCAACTGATTCAAAAGGTATTGGATTTTATCGGTCCCTTCTGTCAGGTCAGACGGCGTATGGGGAAATGCGTCCTCGGACGATGCCTCCGATGGATTGCCTGTAGAGTGACAGTGGGAATAGGAATGTGTTGTTTGCTTAGGATTCGTGCTAAGTGTAATATAAACCGAAAGGAAATACTCTTGCATTAGTATGCAACGTATTTCGAAGATTATACTTTGTTTTATTATGAGTGTAGTGACTGTCAGGAGTTTGGTTGAATGTCATTTCATATGTTTTTTATACTGATAAAAAGGCTTATTTCATTTTGTTATCCTAAAGCTTATCTATTTCTTTTCGCATTCATACCCAAAATTCAATCCCATAATTTCATTTGGTCCATACTTTTAGGGCTTGCAGGAATTTAAGTGCCTTCTTTGAGGGACTCTATTGCTGGTAATGTGAGTATGTGATCTTATATATGCATAAAGGGATGTTTCTTTTATAAAACTTGTATATTGCTGAAAATTCATTAGCTTCTTGTTGTATGTAAGAAATATTATTTATTTTTAATTATTGGCTTTCAACAATAAAGCTATGGATTTTGACTCATGTGAGATAATGGTTAATTAGCATTCATCTTGTGTATTATGTATAAGTTCAATGTATAATTATGGAAACATTATGAATTTTGACTCATGTTGTTTCTTAATATGCATCACGTGCAACGCACGTATTGTATACTAGTCCAATAAAAATACCAAATACAAATCCAAGAAAAATACCAAATAAAAGAACAAATACAACAAGCTTCAACAAATCCATAATATCAATTTCAATCTTTCTCTTTTCCCGAACTTCTCCAATTGAAACGGCACTTGAAACTTACGGGATCACGCTCGACTGCTTTGTTTGAACAAGCCCTGCCTTTGAACCTTCAAACTCCTCTTCATCAGACACCAATTTGAAGAATCCACAATTACTCACTTTCCAATTAGCACATCTAAAAAACAATCGACTAGGGTTCGTCTTAGTTCTAGATCTGGAGAGTATAGCCATCCTTCCACAGTGGCACATCAATCCATGACAAGTGCTTGAAGATGACTACATGCACCAAAATATGCAACTTTATCATGAAACTAAATTTAGTCATGATCAGTAGGGCAAATATTTGAGTTTATAAGTAAAGCTAATTGAAATAGTTTGAACCTAATTAGATATCATCAAAACTCTAGTTAACCTTTTCAACTGAAATAGTTTGAACCTAAATACAATGCAAACGTATATGACATTTCTAGTCTAAATTTATCAACCAAATCTGCATTCATGTCACTAAAAACGTAAATCCTACATAATTAACCCAGCTCCGTGCACCGCAGATCAACAACCATCCTTCAAACAGCTAAATTCAAGCAAACTGAGCAACATAACAATCGAAATCCAACACCCAAGATAAATTAGCCTTACTAAACACATCAAAAATCCTGGCTTAATGACTTGAGCAAATGAGTCAAAAATCCTGGAATATCAATTAGAACCTCATTTCCAAATGTTCTTTCATTTGCAACAAAAACTGAGGAGCTAGCAGCAAACTACCCATGGATGATTTCATCATTTTAAAGAAAAAAATATCAATTAAACCAATTTCAGCACAATCCAATCAAAGGGATCGAGGGAGAGATCGAGGGAGAGATCGAGAGAGAGGGTTCAAGTTATTACCTGCGTCAGCGAGAGAGGGGGAGGGATCGTCTTCGACAGTGGAAATGCGCCGGCGTCGAGAGAGGGAGGAGGGAGGGTCTTCGACGGGGTGAGGGTTTGGGCAGAGAGACCCCGATCTAATTGGGGCTCGCAGATGAGGAAGGGGGGCAGATGGGACCTCAATCTGGTCCTGGGACGGGAGGGTCTTCGACGGTGGTGGAAAGGCGCCGGCGTTGGTGTCGAGAGAGGGAGGAGGGAGGGTCTTCGACGGGGTGAGGGTTTGGGGAGAGAGAGGGAGGAGGGGGGTGTCGAGAGAGGGAGGAGGGAGGGTCTTCGACGGGGTGAGGGTTTGGGGAGAGAGAGGGAGGAGGGTTTATGGGAGAGAGAGGGTGAGGGTCTGGGGAGTCATGAAGAAAATCCAATGGAGAGAGAGAGGAACGAAGAAAATCCAACGGCTTAAACCCGTTTTCCAACCCGTTTTCGCACGTTGTTGTGTGAAAAAATTTCGCATCCAAAGATTTCTCTCTCTATATATATATATATCGTTAACTCATGAGCTATGGGCCGTAAGGCGATTCTAATCCAACCCACATGTCATGAGCTTCTCAGTCTAATTCCGGACCCGGAATTAGAGAGGTGGCCCCCGCTCATTCTGACCTGCACGGGCCCAATCAGACTCCACCCTGCCTTGGCATGTTGGTTCACGGGCCCTGAACCGGCCCGGCCCGTGCTCATGTGTAGTCTAAAGCCACTGCTAAGATTGTCCGTTCTGGTTCGTCCCCTAGGGAACGACGACTCACAACCGAAAAAAATATACAGAGATCGGAGTCCCATAAAAGCTATGTACATCAGAGATCCAGCAACGCTAGGAATTTTTATAACATTATAAAAAAAAATCTCAAGTCTCAGCTCATTTGATCAAACGATCAAAGAAGACAAAAAGCCTAAGAAAGATGGAGCTTTGGATCTTGGGGATGAACTTTGGGTGCATCCTTGGATCTCTGAGCGCGGGAAAATTCCCAGAAAAGGCCTGCTTGCTCCCGCTCATATCCAAGATCCTTGGATACCTCATCGTTGCTGGATCGACCACCGTCAAGCTCCCCCAGGTACAAATTGATCTTGAGTCTTGCCTAAGCCCCAGCAGAATTTATAGATTTCAACTTATGTGGTTCCTAGATAAATCTATTTGTTTGTTGTAATCGTTTATTTTGCTAAAGGAAAAGATCAAATACAAGTTTTGTCGATGGTATGAGACTAGATCCGAAGGATTTCAGATGAAACGAATTAACTTCTGTATTGAAATTCGATGTAAAGAAGCTTAAAGGGGTGAAAAGATGCAAACTTGATAAGATTTTCGAAGGCCTCAACTCTACACGTATGAGATGATAGACTGAAATTAGTCTAGCTGTATTTGTAACGTGTAAGAGTTAGGAGCTTGAAGCTAAATTTGTAAGGGGAAAAGGAGCAATATCGAAGTAATCCGTTTAGGCGACGAGAAGTGATCCATTTAAGCGCGAATGAAACCCTATCTGTCTGTGTTTTAAATGTTATAGCCAACAGGAAATTATCTACAACTTGGTTTATATGTTTGTGATATGTGATTTAGTTATGTAAAATATTTATGTAACACCACTACTGGTAAAGAGTGAACTCAAAGTCTTACGAGCCTCTAAACTTTGCACTAATTCTCGAAAAATCTGCTAAACTATAAGTCTATAATTGTTATCTACTAAGCCCCTAGATTTTCTACTTTTCTAGGAAGCCCTTAAACTATAATTTCAGTCTATTAGGCTCCTAAAGTATTTAACTTCATTCTATTTAGCCCTCATAGTGGTTCAACATAGCTATAGATGGGTATAATGATCTTATTTAATTTTTACTGTTATGCTATTTAACCCATGTGGTGATTTTAGCCCCAAACACCCAAAAATACTATGTCAACTAGGTAAAGTTGAAATATTGTCAAATGAACCGACGTGACAAATATGTGGATCAAAATCCCTTATTGTAGTTAGGGGAGAGTTACGGTAAAACTGATACTTTAAATCAAGAAGGAAGATAATTTAAAACCCAGGACAGGTATTAGTGAATACCTGTCTTTAACTAATTTTCTGATCTCTTCAAAAAGCAAATTAAATAAAACTATTATACCCTTCTATAACTATATGAACCAACATGAGGGCTAAATAGAATGAAATTAAAAACTTAGGGGCTCATTAGACTGAAATTATAGTTTAAGACTTTAAGGGCTTCCTAGAAAAGTAGGGGGAAACCTAGGGGTTTAATAGACTGAAATTATAGTTTAAGGGCTTCCTGGAAAAGTAGTGCAAAGTTTAGGGGCCAATGAGACTATGAGTTTGGTAAAGAGTAAATAGGCTATAGTCTTTGATCCATTTCTGATACTTCCACTATTTGTGGAAAGTTATACTTGTGGAAAGTTCTTTCTAAGAAAAGAATACTGTTAATACCTGTAAGATATTATTTTTCGTGGAAAATTGTATTTATTCCCAGGACACTTTCTTAGCATGATCCTAAGCATGCAGAGGAATGAGGATCTTGATAACCAGCTATATTTGTTGTAATAAAATCACTATTTTTTCATTTACGGCATGAAGAAGTGGAACCATCCGTTATACATAAAGACAATTCATGAAGACGTTGCTTGCTATATCTGACGACAATAATACATAACTCCCAGAATCTGTGGATAGGCCTTGACTATCTGTAATGAGAACTTTAATAAGTAATTGAGTTTCTTTAATGCTTTCTAGGTTTCATGTTATTTTAGAGTGGTCTGAGTTTGAGATGTTACTATATCATTTTTATTCGACTGGGTCCAAATGTAGCAATTACAATTTTTACACTATGTTTTTATATAGAAAAATAAATAAAGCATTACTAGATGTCGGTTTATTTTGGAAATTTTATGTGGTCATAGTGTATCTCCTACGACAGTGAGGAATTTGACTACTGAATGATATCAGTTTGTGGAAAAATAGAAGATAAAAGTTGTCTTATGGAAATGTTCCCTTATTATCATCTATGTTACCTAGGTACTTCTACAATGAAGCTATGCCCATACTGGTCGCTTACCCGACACGTACACGTACCCAAACTTCATGGACACTTATCTTATATGCATACATTTATTCAGACATGTACTCAATTATGTGATATATGTTTTAATTTAAAATACTTGTCAAACACTTCTTGAACGTATGTCCTACCCTTCATGTTCATTTCTTAAAACTCGCTAGACATGTGGCTGGTTTGATCATTCCATATCCAAGTTTAAAGCCATGATGTAAAAGGGCGGTTTGAGTGTCTAGTTGAAAAATGAGCAGTTCTCAATTTATAATAATCAACATAATAAATAAATTTAAAAATATGATAGGAATTTAAACTAAAATAGCACATGAATTGAAAAATAATAATGATCTCATGTAAATTATTAATTTTGACATATATATATATAGAGAGAGAGAGAAAAAAAAATGGGTATGCTTGGTACCAAGCACAAAAAGTTATGCTTGGTAGTGATGTGGCATAATCCCCTCCACTCATTCAAATGATTGCATATCCCCATGCACTCCTCAACCCATGTGAATATGGTCTCCTATTTGAATGAGTGGAGGGGATTATGCCACCTCACTACCAAGCATAAAATTGGCCTTGTTACCAAGCATACAATTGTGCTCCATGCATAACTATATCTAATATATATATATATAATATATTATATATATATATATATATATATATATATATATAATATATATATATATATATATATATATGTTCTAAGGTGACGCCTTAGTAAAATCATCTAAGGACGCGGCCTAAAATCACATGATTGAGCTACATTGTAAATGATCCGTTCCGTTTGAACTTGATCTACATATTCTAAAAACCCAGACACAAGTTTTGGTGAACTCATCGTCGTTTGACCCTCCGTCGAGCCATGTAAAAAAGTTCTATTCATTCAAAAACCGTTAAAATTGATACGAGTGGATGGAGGGTCAAACGAACGACGCGCTGGTTCACCCTAAAACTTGGTGTGTTGGGGTTTTAGAATATGTAGATCAAATTCAACGGAGCGGATCATCCACAATGTAGCTCAATCATGTGATTTTTAGGTCTGCGTCCTTAGTTGATTATCTAAGACGTCACCTTAGAACACTTCTCCCTATATATATTATAATAATATATATATAATATATATATATATATATATATTATATATATATATATATATATATATGAGAATATAGAGAAACTGCGTACCAAGTTCTTGCATTGAACTTGGTAGTGAGGTGGTCAAATCACCCCCCTACATCACACCTTGAAAATGAAGCCTCTTTTTTAAAAGTAGGTGAATAGTGATTGAGCTTTCTCTTCAAGGTTGATATAGGGTGGGGATATTGGCCACCTCACTATCAAGTTCAATGGAGAAACTTGGTACCAAGTTTCTTCATATTTCTCTCTCTATATATATATTATATATCATGTCCCCGTATCCTACTTTTCACAAATTTATCATTTATATATATATATATATATATATATATATATATATTCATGTCCCCGTATCCTACATTTCACAAAGTACCCGTACCGCTCCATTTGCATGCAACTTGGCTTATTATGTATGATAAGTTTTTTCTTAGTCACTAAAAGCTCTATTATGGTCACTAAAAGCTTTATTATGACTGTTTTTTCATCAAAAACTATTTCTAAGGAAAATTCTACTTAGGCCTTGAGATTTTAAGAAAAATCCTTTTCCTCGTCTTCTCTCAATTTTTTGGGCTGCTGGATTCATCCCCTTTAACCTCTTGTAGAGTTCAAATCACTTTAGAAGTTTTTGTAGCTAGTGACATAAGTCCCGTATGAATGTAGTTGAACTAAAAAGATCCTACAATTTAGCATAAGACTCTCAATTTGGGGTATAAAGGGGATAATTTTTTTATTCCAAGACCTAAAAGAAGTGAGAAAAAGCGCGGGGATTTCTAAAAAATCCCACGGGCCTAAACATATTTTACTTTCCTTTTCTTTCAATCATGTCATTAGTAAGTAATTTTCAAATATGTTTCTTGTCATTTAACTTTTCTTTGTGGAAAAGCAGATAGTTCGATAGTCCTTTCCTAAAGCTTCACACTAGGTTACCCAACACTCCATCTCCTATGTCCGAGTCCGAGTTTGACACTCCTTGGGCTCTCCTTGAATATGCATACATTTATTCAAACATGTACTCAATTATATAATACATGTTTTAGTTTAAAACAATTGTCACACACTTCTTAGATGATATCTTACATTTCATGTCCACTTCTTGCAACTCTCTTAACATAGATCAGGTTCATTTCAACCAATATCCAGTTTAGAAGTATGATTTAAAAGAGTTGTTTATATATCTAGTTAAAAAAACAATTAATTTCCCAATGTATTATAAATGTAAAAATGTTACAGAAGTTTTAGTTTTCATAACATGTGCGTGTGTGTGTCTATATATATATAAAATGTGTCCTCATACCCTACCTTTTTGAAATTTACCGTGTCCCGTGTCTACACCTGTACCCACAGCCATACCTGTGTAACATAGGTTTCATATTATGCCTTTTAAGCTTGATTTGGCAATAGCTTGTACAGCTTGTTATATCTCTCTTTATCTTGTAAATTGGTGCCACAGTTGCCTATGTTTTTAGGCTATTTCTTAGTCTTTACTTAATTTTTGAGCAATTAGTCATTCCAACTTATGTTCCTATAAGTTCCTAACTTCAATATGGATGATATTAAGTCTTGTGTCCTCACTGATTTCATTTCCTTTGAAGCATGCATGATGGATGTAAAAGCCTAATATTTCGAGAATATCTATAGGCCTCCTCATGGATTCAGCCATTTGATTCTCTTTTTAGTTCTCTACAATAATATGAACAAAAATATTTCCTGAATTTGTCTTCTTTCATTGTGGGTGAAAATTTGATCTTTCCTGGAATTGTAATATTGGGCTTCTTTTTAAAGAGAAATACTGGTAGCTATTTGTATCAAGTGTTTCGAACGTCTCTCTTATTGCAAATAACAGTGTCCAGTAACTGCATGTTTTATGTTGTAGATATATAAAATTTTGAAGCATAATAGTGTGAGGGGACTTAGCGTTGCAGCCTTTGAGCTTGAAGTTGTCGGCTATACAATTGCATTGGCATATTGTCTGCACAAAGGAATTCCATTTTCGGCCTATGGAGAACTGCTTTTTCTGTTAATACAAGGTATTGTTTTCAACTATTGTATGGATACTATCAAATCATTTCCAAGAGCTTGAGCTGGGAAATTTTCACTTTTACCTTGGTAATATTTGGTTTCTAGTGTGCTTGATTCTAACTAGTGTCATTTGTCTTTCTTGTTGCAGCTATTGTTTTAGTTGCAATAATTTACTATTATTCTCAGCCGGTTGGAGCTAAAGTATGGATGAAGGCTTTGTTGTATCCTAATTCATATGCATTGTTTGTTCTACAATTATTATGAACTGAATGGTTCATGTTGCCAAACCACAAATATTTTGTAGAATGACTTTTTTTGGTTGTGGTAATCGTGATTTCTCATGTTATAATTTGACATCATATAGTATATGATGTAATGTCTTGCTACTTATATATTTTTGTAGTCTGCAATTAACGTTCCGAAATTTCCCATCTTAGTATCATTCTTCATTGACTTTCTTTTCTGTTCTCCTTAAGTGGCTGGTGAATAGATATTGTGCTGTGGCACCAACAATTTTAGCTGGTCAAATTGACCCTATTCTATTTGAAGCACTATATGTGAGTTTTTTTAATCTATTTGCTTATACACTTGCTGAATTCCTTTGTTATTTCTTACCAAAAAGTAATGAAATATCTAAGAAATCTGATATCTGTTGTCGTACCAAGCTCAAAATCTCAAATATGTTTTCAGTAGTTACCTTCTGTTTGTCCTGGACTTGATATCTATGTATTTCTAATGCTGCTATCACACTTTTCAGGCATCTCAGCATGCTGTCTTTTTCTTTGCCAGAGTCCCCCAGATATGGAAAAACTACACTGTAAGGAAAAAAAGATCAACTCTGACATTGTCGATGAATTTATAAATTGACCTATCAGCGATTACTTAATTATGTCTGTAGTAAAATTACACTTACTTGGCAGTTTTCATTCTCAATGTGTTTTTCACTCGAATAATGGAAGCAGTTGACTATTGTATATAAAAAACCATGTTATTTGAAAGTTTTGAGTTATGAGGTCTTCAAAGATAGTATATTTAGAGCTCTTAAGGCATCACATCATCTTTACCTTATACCTTGTCAATTGTTGCCATGTGTACCACTAAAATGTCACATCATCACATGAGATTTAACTGATTCAATCCATTTGACCCGACTAATAAATGAGCCAGATAAGAGTAAGAAGATTTGTTATAATTAGTCTGATTTGAACAGGTAAAGAAACCAAATTATCTTATTAAAATAAAATAAAAACCCCATTTAGGTTATAATAAAATAGAATAGAGACTATTACTCAGTTATAAATGATAATTGTGTTTTATGGTCAGAGTGTTGAAACAAATACCTTCACCTACGACTATACTCAATTCCTACCACAAGCAGGACGTGTTAAAGTAACCACTTATATTATGAATGGGTATGTTGTTGTTAGGTAGCCAGATTGAAACTGTGCAACCATTTACCAAGAAGCCACGATATGCATCGAGGCACCTGACCTGATTAATAACTGTGTGCCCTATGTTTTTGATGTAAACAAACCAATTCGAAGCCAACCCAATCCATTTTCTGCCAACCCGATTACCACCCCTAATATCCCGTGCTTTTTCCATGGAATCTCCTTTGTCTCTGGTGCACTAAATATTGGACCACACTTCCATTCCCCTTGATCATATTAGCAACATAACTCATAACTCTGCTGGCTTTCATCATAGGACATAAGATTTTGGTCTTCCTGAGTGTTAGATTAGGTGTCCGCAACTACGTTTGGAGCCTTTTTGTCTTGCAAGATGGGTCCAAGTGAAATATGTTCTCCTGCCACTAGTCTCCTTTCTCTCACAATATATCCAGCTTTTGGTATGTAGTAAATTCTGGAATTTTGTGTTAACATGGCAGTTGGCTGGGCTTTACACCATAAGTAAACTTGTGTCTGGATTCTCCAATTTTGTTGGTTTTTACCTCCTAAACTCTTCAACTTTCGTCAAGTTTTTAGTCTTAAGGGATAAGTATCAATTTGGTGATTCCAAACATTTCCTGCAATCTCCCTGCATCTAAACCTTGTGATCAACTGATCAAATACTTAAATGTCTCTCTACCACCCTATTTTCATACAAAGCATAGAAGAATAACCACTGCATTGTGACAAGCATTTTAACACGACTTATGGAAAGTGATTAATCATTAATCACCCTGTAATACATGTACCCTGCACATCTTCCAGCATTCCGAATACTATTTTTCTATTTCCATTGTGTCTTGCCTACTATGTTCATTAGTCAGAACCATTACTTGGATAATCATTAAATGCCTGAACCAGTCTTATCCCTAAAGGTATTCCTCCCACATTGACATCAAGTCCAGGAGAAACAGCAACCATTCATACTCAAATGTATTTGGAGCATCTATACGATTAGCACTTGCAAGTTCTCTTTGCTCTAGAACCGATTATGTTCTGCTATTTTGATACAGTAACTTGCAAATGTCAATTACTAACAAAGTAATGCTACTGTGCTCAATGGAGAGTATTCTACTCCCATAGATGAGTCTATGCCACAATTTAAGGTGAAACTGAGTACCGTCCAACCCTGAAAGGTGGCGTACGAATCTCCTCCAGCTCAAAATGCTTTGTGAATCTCCCAACCAACACCAATCTGCTATGTATTAGCCACAATCTCTCCACCGTCAAATTTTGACTCTACAATTAGACAAGCCGAACCCATCGTTCTACATCTCCTTTCAAGATGTTTTCTATTCCTATTCTATATATGCCTCTACAGAAACCTTTACATGCTTGACAAATGTTCTTAATAGACACTTTCAGTGGTACAAATACGCATGGGTATAGTGTACTAACACATGCATGGACACGAGTCTTGATGAAACAAATTTGTATGAGATAGTGTATGGAAGTATTGAATATTACGTCATCAACTTGCCTGAACAACCATCTAGATTGGGACGTCTGTTATCAACAAGGCAACAAGCCTCTCTCCCCTTTCATGAATTGACCCTGAGTAACAACCAACGGAACAGGTTGAACTGATCAGGCCACCCTGGTATGTTGCTCAGCAAACTGGGTAGATATCTGCCCTTATTTGATCCTTTACAACAGCAGTAGTCTATCGTCTATACTTTTCTTACTGAAACCTCTTTGATCTCTTGATTAAAGGAGGGATGGATTCTTCTTGTTTAATGAAACTCTAGAAAATGCCTCAGTCATCATTTCCCTGCATGAAATCTCTCAATAGAGCAACTTTCGTAGTTGTTTCTCCTAATACTACTTCCTTGCTCGACTTCTCTACATTCTTAAAATTTTGTCAATCACTGGGATTTGGTTACTAAATCTGACAGTAGCAATCTTGATTGCCCTTTTTGTAATTTACTTATGCTGATTTATGCTAGGTTAGGGCCTAATTATCATTTTAGTCTTCGGCCCTGGGCTGGCTATACATGCACACTAGGACTAGAACTGATTTAGATGTACAAGAGCTTCATCCAATCTTAACCCTGTTGCCAATTCATATTTGGTACAATTATCATATCAGATTCTCGCCTTAGGTATAGCATTTAATGTTTCGGAACAAGCTAATCATGTCTAGCCAACGACAAAAATAAGATTAAAAAGAAAGCCTGTATCCCAAATTTCTGGGGTCGGCTAGATTCTCGACTCCATAGGATAAAAAGTCTTCTCCTTTACCTTTTGTTTTCTTACCCTTCTCCTATATATTATACCATTATAACATGTCAGCAGTTATTTCTTACTTAAAGTAAATCATGTCTCTTTTTTTCATAAAGAAGAAAAAATGATTTATTGTTGTGGGAATAGAAATTGTACATTGTTAAACATTTCCTGGATGGAAAAGGAAAAAGTTTGAAGGCTACAGTTATGGTTAAAGATATGTTACAACTTACAACTTCCATCTTATATTATATTTTTGTCAAATTTTCGAACTTACGATTTTTTAAGAAAATATTTCTAGTGACAATTTGTGACCTGTGATGCACGTGAACTTTGATATGCAGAACAAAAGCACTGGAGAGCTCAGCTTTTTAACATGCTTTATGAACTTTGCTGGATCCGTTGGTGAGTGCAGTTACTTGCTTTTCAATAAAATTCAGCAAGAACTGGAATTGTGTTCTGGTCTCAATTCTGACTTAGTCCTTTGTCAAAGTCAAAACAGTTCCAAGAAGCTAAATCATAGAGTATGTTATAGTAAATTCCTATCATTTCATAAGGTATTTAAGTGAAATTCCTGTTAGTTGGATTTTTTCCATTTCTTCTATTCATTCTATTAGAATATTTTCTCAATTATCCCTTTTACAGTGTTTTTTTTTGTTTGAAATTTTAGCAATATATTATTTTTCTTCACGTGTATCCTTTGGTTTTATCAACAGTTAAATTTACCTATTTGATCTAGAATTAATAGTGTGCATATTTGTAATAGACACGTGACTTGTTTCTTTTGCAGCTAGGGTGTTTACGAGCATGCAGGAAAATACACCAATGAGCAGTATCCTTTTGCACTAACCTAATCGGTTTAACTCAAGTTTCTTGTCCTTAGCCTAATACTACATTAGTTTGAAATTACAGCACTATCCGATCCTTTAATCCAATTTTGTTCTCTTTATGTGTTCAATGGTATCTGATAGTAATTGCATTTCTTTTTGATGTTACTACTCTTAAAGTTTGTTTGAGTAGCCTCCTGTGCTGGTCATGCCTCTGCTTATTGTTACGCTCTATGATCTGGTAGACTAAGTTACAGGGGGCTGATCCGTATAGTTGATTAGGGGTGCAGTCGCACCCCTAGCAATCTAAAATTTGCATTTAAAGCCTTTTATTATTACAATTTGCCCCCATAGTTTTAAAAACTTTGCAGCACACCTTGAATTTTCAAACATCTTGCATTTAACATTTACAAATTAGTAGCACATTTTTATTTAATCCATTTGAAATTAGTAGCCCAATTTTATTTAGAAAAATAGATACATATCACCTGCCCCTCTAAGAAAATTTTCCTGGTTCCGCCACTGATCATGTATAGTTACTTATATTGTTTGAATATGCCACCATACTAATATCATCATGACACAGCACTGTTGCTTGTAAACGAGGATGTTTTGCATGTAGCAACTCGAGTACCTACAGACTGGGGTTTGGTAACTGAGTTGGGTTTGTTTTTGTTCTTTGCCACGCAATGTGAAGTGACAACAGAGCTTCATGAGTTATTGTAGGCTTGCAGCTCATGTTACGAGAATTTTGGCTGTAGGGTGAGTTATAGCAAATGGACAAAATTTAAGTTGGAAGCCTGCAGATGTAAATTCCTTAAGTGGTTCTTTATTACCTGCCATGAATTAATGGACTGGTTTTTTATTTCCTGATGTAGATCCTGTCAATCTGCATCTTATCCTGATACAAAATTTTCTGGTTCTGCCATTGATAATGTATAGTTACATATATTGTTTGAATATGTCACCACACTAATATCATTATGACACAACACTGATGCTTGTAAACGAGGATGTTTTGCATGTAACAATTCGAGTACCTACAGACTGCGGTTTGGTAACTGAGTTAGGTTTGTTTTTGTTCTTTGCCATGCATAGTGAAGTGACAACAGAGCTTCATGAGTTATTGCAGGCTTGCTGTTCATGTAACAAGAATTTTGGCTGTAGGGTGAGTTATAGCAAGCAGACAAATTTTAAGTTTGGAAGTCTGCAGATGTAAATTCCTTAACTATTTCTTTATTACCTACCATGAATTAATGGACTGGTTCTTTATTTCCTGATGTAGATCCTCTCAATCTGCATCTTATCCTGACACATAATCCTGTTAAATAACTCTGTTTTAAGATCTGTAGTCAAAAGCTCTTCTTTTTCCCTATCAACATCTCAGCTGAGGCATTATCATATGCATGTTAGTTTGAAAGTCATCATATCATTGTGTGTCATACAAATCATGTGTGTAGATGGCACCTATATTTTCGCACATGTGAAGTCTCAACCTTCACATTCTTGTGTAATTACCTTATCCTTACTCTCAAGGATTCTGACAATGACTTTAGTGTCCCTAATCAAATCAGTTATAATTATCAGTTCACAGTAAGAATATTTGGTAGCTTATGCTTTTCTTTGGTACCTAATACATGAAGATTGAGCAACATGTTGTAACAATGACCACAGAACCTGGGACTGAAAATGAAGTTATCAACGTTTATTCTTGAATTAGGAGACTGAACAAAGATGTAGGTCTGACTGCATCCTTTCAAATGCTGCAAATTATCGGGAGTAACATTATACTATTGATTTAGCATAAGAAAGAGTTGGAATTTTTTTCCTTTTATGAAGAGAATTTCTATCGACTCATCTGCTTTTTCTCTCTAGAATGTGCTCTGGATACACTGGATTTTGTTAAAACTTGTTATTTAGTGTACCAATAGTTCACTGAATTGCGTGCATATACACAGTTTTAGCAAATATTGCGGATTTAGTACTTGCGTCAAGTTCCTACCATGTTTTCCTTTGACTTTTATTTAGTGATTTTGGGCTGTCTTCTTGGTGTTATGACAAATGGTACAATCTTAAGTCAGATACTTATGTACCAGCCACAAGCAAAGAAAGAGAAGAAAGTGCAATAAACCAGTATGGTTCTCTGGCCATGTTCTCTTTTTCTGGGATTTCTCGGAGGTTATACTTCTACTGACTCCGGTGGTAAACACACTTGCACTTCCAAATTGTATTCATAACAATATCCTAGTTCTGTTAACCTGTATCGTAACTTCACTGGTAACTGTGGCAATATTTAAAAAAAAAACTACCTATTTTTGTTTTTCTTCAGTTTTTTTACTGTTTATATATATTGAGAAAAGAAAATTCTTTATTTTGGATAAATTCTTTCTCGACTGTCAATTGTTGCTGGATATATTTATGGGTTACGTATTGTTTTTATTTTGATTTGTTATATTTGTATGGTGATGTGTATGGCTCTTCATTTGGTGAAATTCTCATATTCACAATGAGCTTCCTAGTTCGTTAGACCTTTGGTGCTACCTACATTGGGGCACTCTTGTGACAGCTTCATATTTTAGAGCAGCATACTTACGATCATGATTGCAGCTTGGATTATAAAATCTCTGTTTTCAATTGATCGTTTCATTTCAATAAGGGAATATATTATATTTAAGCATGATTGAAGAAATAATTTAAGATTGGATCGAGACAAATGCTACTAAAGTGAGGCTCTACAGTAGAACCACATACGCATCGCATAGTATGTAAGATCACTCAAAGACTATAGTTTTGTTACATACGTTTTTTTATTGAAGACATGCTTTGTAGGGAGAAACTGCTGGAATAAATTGATTCTGCTTGTGTAGACTGTTATTATTTTTCATTTCCCTCCTCGACTTGCTGATGGTACTCAAAATTACGGAGGAACTGTTGGGTTGCAAGAGATAGACCACACTAATTTACTTGGAACCAAATACGCCCTGAAGAAATAATTTTCATTTAGTCATTAGTACAAATAGTCTCAGGACTGCAGACTAAATACCATTTTATGTCTTTATTAGTACTGAGCTGAATGAATGTTGAAACATTCATAGCAGAAGATAATATTTTACTTTCCTCCCCCACTAATTAGGTTGTTGGTAAGGAGGAATTATAGTTGAAGTCCATTTAATGCCATAAATTTATGAGCAATTTATTCTGGGGGGAGTGATTACGGCAGGCACCAAGAGAGGGGTTCACAAAATGAGATAGGTGGAACCTTTATCGCGAAATTAAGTTCTTCTTGCTGGTTGGGAGTGTGAATAGTTGGAGATGTGTTCTTGAAAAAGTTCAGGATGACGCTAAGTATGATATAATATTGAAACACTTCGAAGATATAATGTCAGTGATCATATTTAAAAAATCAGGATGTAAATGGAAATAATAATAATAATAATAATAATTCATCTGGAGATTAAGATAATATTCTGATCATTAGTCTGAAGGACATATCTTGGTGTATTATTTAAGAATAAGGAAAAAAAAACCGACACCTTAGAATCTTTAGACTACGTCAATATGGTTCTCTGTAAAAGAAAAATTCTTCAAGGACCCAAAATATGGGACCAATAGAGGGGACAAGTGAGGTGTCCCCTTCCTATTGGATAATGAGTTGGTCATCATTAATGATAGCCAACTCATTATCCAATAGGAGGAACACCTCACTTGTCCCCTCTATTGGTCCCATATTTTGGGTCCCTGTAGCAAAGCTCTCTGTAAAAATATGATGTTGCAACCTTTTCAAAAAGAAAATAATTGGTGTCCTTTTAATATGAAAGGATTCTCCGATATAGTGAAAAACTCCATACGAAACAATCTCCTCATGTGAAATATGATACATTAATCTCTTGGAAGATGTGTATCATATCGTGAGAAATGATCCGGATAAAAATACTGCATTCGATAACAAAAGTTCTTGTCCGGTTCGAAATTCTTTGGGACACGAAGCAGCACCATCTACTGTGTGAACCGAAAGCTAATATACTAGCGATTTTTATCTCCATTTGATAACAAAAATTTACACATTTCTGAAAACTAAACTTGTTTTTCTTTTTAATTTAAAACTAAAATATACTACTAATTAAAGAGAGTGTGAGTGTTAAAACTATAAATTTTCTACAATGTTTATAATTCTCAATTATGCTTATTGTTTAATTATTTCTTCACTAATTATTCATAACTTCTTATTAACTAGGCATTTCCTCTTTTTTTTTAATCTGTTTGTCATTCGATCACTAGACTATGCTTAATAATTTATAATAATAATAATAATAATAATAATAATAATAATAAAGTATTGAAATAATATATAATCTATTATAGCTAATTATTACTTGTAATAAAATAGCAGAAATAGTTATTTAATAAATTATTTTTCATAACTATAACTATTAAATTATGTTATAACTATTAATTGTTTAATAATAGTACGATAAAATAATATACTATTAAATAGTAATCAGAATCATATATAGTTTCCTTTAATAAATAGTATAACAGTCTAATTATTTTATAGTATTACTTAAGCTAAAAATTATTCTATTATTTAATAATTATACTATTAAATAAATTATTGGAAAATATCATAATAGTGTTACAGTTTACTATGCATAATTATTACAAATAATAATATTTATAAAATAGGATGGTACTTTATCATAATTATCTTAAATTATGATTATACTATTATAATTATTAAAATATACTAAAGTAGTGTATGTGATAATTATTTAAATAAATTATGATATTTATTTGTACATTTTTCATGAAATTTTTATTTAACAATTTCATCGATTAACATAAAATTTTAATTGTTACTATTTTCCAGTCAATGAAAAAAATCAAAACATAAAACAAATACCAATATGTGCAAAGCACATGCAATATATTAATTGGTTAAAAAAACAATATCTTTGTCACACGGAGGAAAGTGATGGTTTCAGTTGGGGGTTAAACTATGGCTCGGCTTTCCCACATATCTATATAATATGTTAAATTTCTTACCATTGAAACTGCCACTTGGCATTTTTCTATTATTTAATCTATTATTATCTAACAACGTAAAAGCCTGATGTTTTTCTTTTTGACATGTGTCAATGAACAAATATCTCTCTCAAAACCATTCATCTACTGATTAATTAAACCTACCATCTGTTCATCGATCTCCCTTATTTCTAGACAATTTCTTTATCTTGAAATAGACATTTTTAAAAAAAAATTTGCATCTTTCCTAGGGCAACGAACCATTTATCTTGGGGAAAAATAACTTTTATTTTATATCTAGCTCCTCTCTCTCCCTCCCACAAAGCTCTGGGTTCAACCTTCTCACCTTCCCAAAGCAACTGCCTTCTTTTTCTCCTCCCCTCTTCCGTCCCAAATCCATCCCCTCCTCGAGCTTTCCTTCTCCACACACCTATTGTTGTGCACAGCGGAAATTTCGGCAGCACTTCGACAGCACAACAAGAGAGATTAGATCGATAAGAATTCTCGTCTCACCAAGGAAACAAGAATCTGAAGCGGATATCTCAACAAAGTAAGATATCGGCTCTTCCTCTCATCAGTTCTAGGACTGACCTGTCGAGGGATCCTACAAGCTATTACAAATCACAGCAAGAACACAACTTTTACGTGGTTCGGCAAATAGCCTACGTCCACGGGGCAAGGAGGGGGAGATCTACTATTAGAGGGAGAGATACAATTGGGGTTTACAATCTCACAAATCTAAACTCTCTCAAACAAACTCTCAAATCCCTCTTACAAATATTCTCTCAAAGGGATACAAAAAACCCTAAACAAAAGACTGTGTCAGCCTCTGCGTCCGCACCCCTTTGCAATTGCTCTTCTGCTTTTTCGTACTCCGTCCTTTGCAGAAGTCCAGCCGCAAACCTGACCTCGCACCCCTTCTTCGCACGTCCTTGCTACCGCCGCACGAAACCCTAGGGAAGGGTTTTATAAGGCTGAGATCAATTCGGGTGGGCCTGTTGGCCTTCTTGTTTTGATGATGTTTAACAAACAATTTACCACTAATGTTGTTTGTCTAGTATTTATGTTTTCTTATTTATTGTAGACAAACAACGTAGTTGGAGGATGGATGGAATTGCGCCTTAAAAGATCAAGTTCAAGCTTCATCCGCAACGTGTACCAAGTCAAGCTTAATTGAAGATCAAGATTGCTTGGGTAATGTAGTTTAGGATTTATATTATGTGTGTTAAGTACTCTAAGCTCAATTATCTATACACACACATTTTATTAGTTTCCTTGTATATATATGTAATCACATATATATACAACACAAGTTTTGGTTTTCATGTTTATAAATATGAAATTACATGTTTCATATTTATTATTTTGATTTGGTTTATCTACATAGATATGAAACAAATATATTTTCATATACATAATGAAATTATATATTTCATATTTTCTATTGTGTTTTTGAAAACATTGCATAGAATATGCAATTTTGTGAAAATATTGTATTCTTAGTTTATAGACTTCAACATCAGTTTATACATGTTTTACTAAGTCTATAAAAACATTTCACAAAGTTTCAAAAGTTGGTTTATGTCAAAACATCAAAATTCAAGTATCTCATATTTTCATGTTTTGGACTATTTTGTAAAATGATGATATTTCTCATTTGGGAAGTCTTTTTAGAAAACCAGTTTTTGTAGCATGTGTATTATCATGTCTACAATCATTCCCCAAAGTTTTACATTTTTCTGAATTTATTTGATATTTTTAAACAGTGTTTTAAAATCAGCTTTGTTTTTCTGGGATGTCAGTTTTCGGTCGACCGGTACGGTCGACCGGTCAATTGACCATTCGTCAGTATTTTTCCAGAGAGTCATCGGTCGACCGGTCCGGTCGACCGAGAGCTCAAATCGGTCGACCGACAGAATTTCCGGTCGACCGACGATGGTCCAGAAAGTTTTCTTCGTGTTTTTGCTCTCATCGGTCGACCGACGGAATTTTCGGTCGACCGACAATATAGCCGTTGCTTTTTAACGGCTCTTTCTCTGAGCTGTTTGCTGGGGTTTTTGGTCATTTCGTTTTGGGGTTTTTGGCTGAGCTTTGAGTGGGTATATATACCCCATTGCTGATGTCTTTTCAAATTGATTAAGAGAGTTTTTAAAAACAAGTTTAAGAAAGTTTTAAACAAGGGTTTGAGTTTGTTTAGTTTGTTTTTTGGGGTTTGCTGTTACAAAGAGGAGTTTGCATCACCAGTTGAGGATTTCATCCTCAAAATCTTCTCATCCTCTCTTTGTGTTTATAGAGAAGTTTTCTAACTCTTTTCCCTAGCAATTTCATTATTGATTTATCATATATTAATTATTGCTAGT